ACTGTTGACGCCCAGTGCGACCGAGATGCCCGACACTGGCGCCACGTAGATGTTCCCCTCGGCCACTTGGGTAAACGCCACGGACCCACAACTGCGCGTAGGCTCGGTGTTGAAGCCAGCCGCGCTGACTCCTTCTGCGGTAACTGCACCATGCTGAATGCGAAAGAACCCGAAGCTTTTTTGGAAATGATAGTGTCCACCCAACGCTCACGTTTGCCAACTTGAACCCGGAGCTGGCTGAGAATATGATCACGTGCAGGTTGAAGACGGATGCGCGCGACGGCCCGACGACCCAGATCCTTCGCCACTGCCATGGGGCCTTTTCATCGCATAGGGAACCACTAAGGGTGCAACCTGAAATGGTGGTAACTGCTGCCCACGTAAAAAAGCTCCAAGAACATGCGTGCTGTCGTTTGCCTAGCACCTCCTCGTACGAACTTGGGGATCTGCTGGCCTGCGTGGCACAAGGGCTCCGCGGCCATACACTTCGGCATGCGATCAGGAAACCGAACGGTAGGGCGATACGATGCACAGAAAGCCACAACGAGGTTGATATACTTCCTGTCAAATAATCAATGGGGCCCATAAGTCCTGCACGAACGCGCTCCACTTGTTGAGCGTTCCCGTGCAAAGCTGCAAACGGACCAACAGGTTGCGCACCTGGAATTATATCTGCTGCCGCTGCCACAATCCTTGACCCCCCTGCTGCAACTGCTTGGGAGAAAGGCGCCTGAGCCCAAATTGATGCGATACCTCGAGGTCCTCGAATCCGCGGTGGAGGCCGACGACGTCGTCCTTTGAATGTCTTGCCGACCTCGGTGCCAAAGAGCTTGTCCGTGTGAAACGGGTCTGCGCGATTGCCTCGAGGTTCAACAAACCGAATAAGCATTGATTCGAATGAGAAGGTTCGAGCTCCATCCACGCAAACTGCGACTGGAAGAACTGCCAAGCTGCCCAACGTCTTGCGTAAGCCTGAACACCGAGGAAGGCGGCCTTCACGAGACACAGGCCGTAGAAGTGCACGCAGATGCTCGCGAAGCCGAGCTGGAAGACCTGGCGTCACACAGCGCCGCGATACGTTAGCTTTGCCAATGTGCGACGATGACGTTGTCCACAGCACGCGCACAGTGGACTCGTCTGCATGCGCACGAGTCCCCAAATCCAACATCTCAAAGATCCACTGCGGCTCGAAGCATAAAACCCCCCGGTATGCGGATGCTGGCTGACTTCTGAACATCCGACCTGACCACCGTGGAAGACGACGCAATGGAACAGCGCGACGTAGCCTAGCAACGCCAATGCACACCAACAGGTAGAAAGCCATGATCGCCACTTCGGGACAACCAATGCCTTGTTGAAGGTGGGCGGGCAACATTTGCCGAAGAACGCGATGCACAGCTATGCCCAGAGACGGAAGATCCAACTGCTGAAGACAATACACTGCCCATTGCTTGACACGTAAAAGACCCGTATCGGATGGTTGAACCATATCTGAAATCACTTGCTACACTCGATGTTCGGCCCACGCTCCTGCTTTCGAGGGGCGGGGCCACTCCGCGCCCGTGCAAACATGAAGGGTTGAATCATGGCGCGCCGTTGCTCGGAGAAGCCAGCTCGACGCCACGTGGTCGCATGTCTTACGGGCGACGGATATCAGCGAAAGCGGATCTCAAGAAGAAGCTTGTTCCTCAACCCCACTGCAAGAACTCCATCAAAACCCTGCGGCCAAGCACCGCGCCGACCTGGCATGAGCGCGCGCGCCCCAGGGCGTCGCCCCACCGGACGCAAAAAAAAACCAGTCTCAGCCAGACTGGCGACGGAAAAACTCCCGAGTCCCCGAAGCACGTTTCGACACGGGTTGACGATACCCTCCAGCGGAGCCTCTCCCCAAGACTCTGCCGAAGACTGAGATCCCATGACGTTCGTACTTGGTCTGCGGGCCCCTGGCCTTCTAGAGTGCGCGTGTGTGCGCGTGCGCGCGCGCGTTCGCGCGCGCGGCGCGGCGCGCGCGGCGGCGGCGGCGGCGGCGCGGGGGCGGCGCGCGAGGGGGGATAGCGCACACACACACACACACACACACACACACACACACACACACACACACACACACACACACGCACGCACACACACACACACACACACACACACACACACACACGCACACACGCACACACGCACACACGCACACGCACACACACACACAAACGCATACACACACGCGCAACCGAACCACCCGCCCCGCCCCAAAGCCACAAGTCCCCCTTAACCCTGGGGGTCCCACTGCAATGTCTCTCCTAACATATGTCCTCTCCCATGCAATATCCCCTCGCGAGCCCCCCCCCCCCCTAACTATCGGGATCTCAATGCAAGGTCTCTCCTAAATGGATGTATCCGCTCGCGCCGTATCCCCCCTCGCGCCCTTCCACCCCGCCCCCGCGCGCGCGCGCGCCGAGCCCCGCCCCGCCGCGCGCGCGCGCAACTTGACCGCCCGCCCCGCCCCAAAGCCACAATTCCCTCGTAACTCGCGGGGTCCCAAGACAATGTCCCTTTGAACTCGACAATCCCCCCCCCTCTCGTGCAAGATCCCCTCGCCCCCGCCCCCGTCGCCTGAACCGCGGCTCCTTAATTCTCGGGGCCTCAATGCCAAGTCCCCCTCGCGCCCCGCCCCCGCGCCCGCCGCGCAGCCGCCCCCCGCCGCGCCCCGCCCCGCCGCGCACGCTCGCGCGCGCGCGCCAAGCCACAATTCGCCTTTCAACCCTCGGGATCCCGATGCAGTGTTTTTCTAACTCGAAATTGCACCCCTCTCGCAATACCCCCTCGCCCCCCCCCCCCCCCTGCCCTTCCCCGAAGCGGCGACTCCTCGTTCATTCTCGGAATGCCCAATGCAAGCTCTCTCTAAAATGAATATACCCGCTCGCGCAACATCCCCCCTCTCGCCCCCCCCCCTGGCGCGGACCGCCCGCCCCGCCCCGAAGCCGCGACTCTTCTTTAATTCTCGGGATCCCCATTCAAGGTCTCTCCTGCATGGATGCGCCCGCTCATGCAAAATCGCACCTCGCGCCACCCCCCGCCCCAGACCCCCGCCGCGCCCCGCCCCGCCGCGCGCGCGCAGCCGGCCCGCCCGCCCCGCCCCAAAGCCACAACTCCTCCTTAATTCTCGGGATATCAATGCAGTGTCTCTCCTAACTCAATACTTCCTCTCTCGTGTAATATCCTTTCGCGCCCCCCGTTATCCCCTGCCAAAGCTGCGCCCCCTCCCCTTGTTTCTGGGATTCCCCGTGCAAGGTCTCTCCTACGTGGATATATCCGTTCGAGCAATCCCCCCCCTCGCGCCCTCCCCCCTGGCCCCCGCGCCGGCGGCGCCCCGCCCCGCCGCGCCCCGCCGCCCGCGCGCGCGCACACACGCACACGCACGCACGCACGCACGCACGCACGCACGCACGCACGCACGCACCCACACACACCCGCACACACCCGCACACACCCGCACACACTCGCACACACAACACACACACACACAGCACACACAACACACAACACACACACACAAACGCACACACACACACACACACACAACACACAAACACACACACAGCACACACACCACACAACGCACAACACAGACACAACACAGACACAACACACGCAACACACAACACACAACACACAACACATACACACAACACACACAACCCACACAACACACAACACACAACACACACAGCACACCCAGCACACCCAGCACGCACAGCACACACAACACACACAACACACACAGACAGACAGACAGACACACAGACACACAGACAGACAGACACACAGACACACAGACATACAGACACACAGACACACAGACACAGACACAGACACAGACACAGACACAGACACAGACACATACACAGACACAGACACAGACACACACACACAACACACACAGAGCACACACACACATAGCACACACACAACACACAACACACATTACACACAGCACACACCACACACACAAACACACACACACAAACACATACACAAACACACACAAACACACACACAAACACACACACACAAACACACACACACACACACGCACACACACACACACGCACACACACAACCCATCTCCTCATCCCCTCCGCCCCCCCCCACCACCGCCGCCGCCGCCCCCGCGCGCACACGCGCACGCACGCGCACACGCAAACGCACGCGCATAGACATACACATGCACATACACATACCCAGACACATATACACACCACCCCGCCCACCCATCCACCCCAAAACAACAATTCTTCCATGGCCCTCGGGACTCCAATACGACGACCCTCCGACTTGGATACTTCTTGCCATGCGCTACCATCCATCGCGCATCTCCCCCCCAACCCCACCCAAATGCCACGATTTCTCCTGAGCTCGGTCGAAAAACAGAATTAACTTCGCGGCGACCGACGGAGCCTCAAGACAATGCGGGATCGCGCGCGATGAGCAACGCGCGCCCTCTCCGATATGAGATTCCCCCCTGGCGGCGCTTGACTTCGCCACAATTCCGCCGCGAGTATACTGCAACATGACGCGAATTATAATTTGTGGGTGGGCGTGTGGGTGAAATGCGAAAATCACACGCGTTAGTTGTTCTGGTGAACAACAGCTCATCATCAGTGGTGATGATGATGGTGATGAGTGGTGCTGATGATGGCGATGCTGATGTCGATTGCGATAACGATGACGACGATGATGCTGCTGATGATGATGCTGGTGCTAATGAGGATGATGATACTGATGATGATGTTGATGAACATGATGATGGCGATGAGGAGGGCAACCAGAAGCCGCTGAGGGTCGCTGGAAATCACCGTCGGCCCCGTCGGCCTCGTCTGACTCGTCGTAGTCGTCGTCGTCGTCGACGTCGTCGTCGTCGTTAATGTCGATGAGGTCGTCGTCGTCGTCTTCGGCCTTGGAGCGACAGGCGGGGCGAGCGGCAGCGGCAGCGCGGCACGCTTCACCGCGATGGGGCAGCCGTCGCCGCCGCGCAGCACGGCGCGGTGGACTTGCGCGATGCTCGCTGAGGCGATGGGCGCGGTGTCGAAGCTGCTGAAGAGCTCCTCGCGAGGCCCATCGCCGCCCTGCCTCCTCTTTCCTAAGAGCTGAGCAATTTCTCGTGCCTTCATATCCCAAAGGCGAGAGATGTCGAGTTGCCCCATACCCCGAAATTCAGCAAAAAAACAGCGTCCGAATCAGCAGAGCAGTTGCAGAGCAGCTGCGGAGGCGATGGGCGCGGTGTCGAAGCTGCTGGAGAGCTCCTCGCAAGACGAAGCCAGGACGAGGACAACATCGGGTGAGGATAATTCGGGGATGGACAAACCCCCCTTTAGTAAAACGTGGTTTAGTGAAAAGCCCAAACCTGGCGGGCGCAAGCCTGGAAAATAACGGCCACGGCGCCATCTCGAGAACCGAAAAGGACAATTCACTAATCGACGTGTCACTGCTCGGGGTTCTGTCCACCCCAGAATAATCCAAGAATCTCTGAGATCTGGCGGCTCCGGAGGATGTCTCGGGCGCCGCGGCCTTCTCGGAGCGTTCCAAAACGCTGTGAGAGCGTTCCGGAACGCTCCGGAACGGAATGATCCTCGCCCCGGCCACGCCCGCCCTCGCGAGGCCCATCGCTGTCCTGCGCGCAGTCGGAGCGGGCGCAGAGGCACCTGCGGCACAAGCGTGGCCCCCTCCGCCGACGAGGGAGAGCCCCAAAGCGTGCGGTCACCGAGGGTCCCCTGCAGGGAGTCGCCCGACCTGACCTGCCTGGCCTGGATCGGGAGCGGCCAAGAGGGGGGGTGTCCAGAAGGGGGGGTGCAAAGCATGACCGGCGGCACGTGCGCGGCCCAGCGGGGGGGCCAGGGACGCAATGAAATAAGAAGAGTTGCCATGAAGTCTGGGAAATATCATGGCCCCCACCATGATATCCACCCCCCCCTAGTCATCACCCCCCTCTTTGCCGCCCCCGATCCTTTCTCCGCCCCACCTGCGTGGACCCGGGTTTTCTCCGCACGGCTCCTCTAGTTGCTCGTCCTCCCCATGGGTTCCCAACTTCGCGCTTCGCGCTGCGCGAAGCGCGAAGTGCGAATGACTTCGCGCTCTCGCGCCGCCCAAGGGAGAAGAGGAGGACGAGCAGGAATCGGAGCCGAACCGCGAAGCGCGAAGCGCGAATAACTTCGCGCCCTCGAGGGCGCCCTTGATTGATCCGCGTCCTAGCCACGCCCGACCTCGCGAGACCCATCGCCGCCCTGCCTCCTCTCTCCGTCCCACCCGCGTCAGCCCCCGTCTTCTCCGCACGGCTCCTCCGCTTGCTCGTCCCCCCCGCGGGTGGCTTTATAGCTAACCGAAAAGGAAATACCAACCAGGCAGTTTTCGTTGTGATCAGCCCACATCACACCAGAGGGTATATGAACCAAGCATGGCCGCGAGGATTGCTTTGGCAGAATAAAAAAATGGTTGCTCGTCCTCCCGTGGGTGGCCGGGCTCGCCACCTCCTCGCAGTGCGCTTCGACCACTGCCCTGGTCGGCCCGGCGTGCCGCCCTGCAGGGAGGCCGTGTCTTGGGCTGCCTGCCAGTGGCAGTGTTCTCAAGTCGGTCGATCCCGCCGCAGTCCTCTCAGGCACTTCCGTGGGTCCTTCGCGACACTCCTCGGCTTTTTGGTGCTGAGTGGGAGGCTTCACCGCAGTGCTCTTCAGCCCGTGGGCTGCTGGGCTGTTGCCTCATCATTGCGCAGTTCGACCAATGCGATCGTAGCCCAATCGCGCCGCTCTTCAGCGCGACGGCGCTGGGAGTACGTGAGCTCGTCGCGCTCCTCTTCGACCATTGGGCGGCTCGACTCAATAAGGTATCTCGGGCTTGGGGATAAATCCCTCCTGGGACTGTGCGCAATCTTCGCCTACTGCTCTGCGAACCAAAGAGCCGTGTGAGAATTCGGCTCCATCTCAGCCCGGTGGGCTCTCGTGCGAAGCGAAGTCTCCCGCAAAGGTTGCAGCAACTTGCAAGCAGACGGGCCGTAAGGGCTTGCTCGGCAGCGAGAACTTTCCTCACCATTATCACCGTCAGCAGCGACGTCGTCGTCGTCATCATCACCACCATTATTGCCATCATTACCGTCCTCATCAGCATCAGCATCAACATCGGCATACTTATCGTCGTCGTCGCAATAACTATCAACACAATCATCCGCATTACCGTCACCATTAGCAACATCGTCATCATAACACTCGTCGTCATCATCATCAGTATCATCACCATCACCATCGCCATCGCCATCACAATTACCACCATCATCATCACCACCATCATTACCATAAATCAGCATCATCATCAACCATCCTCATTATCGTCATCATCATCATCTTGATCGTCGTCGTCGGATTCACCACCATCAGCATCCTCCTCCTCATTACCATCATCACCACCATCACCATCACACTTTCCATCATCATTACCATCGTCATCATCATCCTCATCATTATTACCATCACCATCATCATCAACAAAATCATCATCAGCATCATCTCCATCTCCTCCTCCTCCTACTGACAATGCGCATACTCATTAGCGTCACCTCTGTCGCCGTCACCATACCTTTAATCATACGCACTCTTCTTTGATAACAGGCATGCTCTCCTCGAACCACGCCTACCCTGCCTGCAACGCTGCGCACAAACCTCGCCCGATCCTCCAGAGGTCGTCCGAACTCCTGCTTGATGGTCGTGCGCACATGCGCCTCGCTGTCTGCAGGCGTGCTGTCTGTAAGCCGCGACAGCTGCTTCTGCCACACCACTGGGACGCCTGTGGACATGGAGGCCATCCACTGCCCCAGCTTCACGAAGAGCCCTCCGAGCGAGAGGAAGCGCTCAGTGAGATACGGCGCCACCAGGCGGTCGAGCTCGCTGTAGACGACCTGGGATGTTTGCAGCTGCTTGCGCCCATGGGAAGTAAGATGTAACATATTTGGACGCTAGCACATATGACGCAAACGCTTAACGTTTCTGGTTTCAAGCGGGCTGTCTAATGCCCAATTTTGGGCCGGCGCTCCTTGAATAGTCTACGCGGCCTGACGGTTGAGCTACTCCTGGGTGTAGCTGTGCGCGTGATCAGAAGCCTTCTTGCCAAATGCACGCCGAACAACTTGTGAACACGCCACGACACGCGAGCCCGGCAACACCGATCTGGAGCCATGAACCACGACCAATGCCACGAACCACAGACCACGCTTCACCAGCCACGAACTACGCACGACGAATACCAAACCAGAGGAGGGTGGGACCAACTAATCACGAACCACGAACCACGCAACACCAAATACAAACTACAGGCTTAAAACATGCGCCAACGAACCGCGAACCACGCCACAGACCACGGACTACGATACACGCAACGAGCCACAAAACACTGACGAGCAACCATTCGCTGCGACCTCCGAACCTCGGACCCCAGGACTACGCACAGCGATGCGCAGTCCACGACACGAAACACGCACAACGACCCACGAATCGCGAACAATGAGCCACGTCAAACATCACGAGCCATGAATCACACACACACACCACGACTCGAATCGCGAACCCCGAACTTCGCGCCGCACAACACGGGCCACTAACCACGAGCAGCGAACAACAGACTACTTCATGATCCACTAACCACGACCTGCGCCACGAAGCCACGAGCGACGGATCACGCCAAGAACCACGAAGCACGAAACCCGCCAGGAGCCATGAAAACCACGAGCCAAGACCAACAATCATAAAACACGCCACGGAGCAGGACTCATACATCAAGATATCCGCCACGACCAACGAACCACGAATCGACCCACCGACAATAACTCAAATCGAGAATCCTGCCTCACATGCTAGTTCGTGCGCGCTTTCCGTACGAACGTAGCCAAGACCGAAGCCCTCGCCGAGGGCAGACAAGCTGGAATCCCCAGGGCGAAGAGGCCCGCACTGGTGCTTACTTCTTTTTGCCCGTGATCGCGGAGCGTCGTGGCCTTCGCTTCGAGCCCCCAGAGGCTGCATAGCAACCGATGAGGGGCCTGCGGCTTCTTTGGGGCAGTGCCAACCCAGACATGCGAGGTCCTGACTAAATCCATGCGCGGTCCCCGGAAATTCGACCCTTTTCCCCCAGGCCGGTTTCTCATCCCGGGCAATTGTTTTACGGTCCCGAGGCCCGGCGAGGGCCCCCGGAGGCCGAAAACGGAAAACAAACTACAGTTTTGTTGGCAACACAAAAAAAACGACGCGATCATGTCTGGGAAGGGGGGTCACCACAGAGGGGGGCGGAACCACTTCCTCAAGGAGAAGCGCCGCTGCCTCGAGGAAGAGTGGGCGCTTCCACCCCTTCGGGCCCGCCGGCACGAGACCCCAAACGCGTCCAAGAAGGAACGCCTCGAGCTTCGATCCTGGAGCCTCGCCTTCCAGGAGGGGCTTTGCGCTAGGTCGGGCATGTTCTCCTGCGGGCAGATTGTGGAGGACAAATAATAAACAGGGGCTCCCAGCTTCGCGCTTCGCGCTGCGCGAAGCGCGAGGTGCGAATAAGTTCGCGCTCTCGCGCCGCCTCCCAGGGGAGAAGAGGAAGAGGAGGAATTGGAGCCGAACAGCGAAGCACGAATACCTTCGCGCCCTCGAGGGCGCCCTTGAATAAAGAGCCAAACAATGCGCAACAATCGTCAAAAATGATGGGAAAATCGTCCCCAGACTATCTTGTTCAGTATTATTGAATTTTCCTTCTGTAGAGAGACATGCCCGACTTAAAGCTGGCGCAGAGGAGCAGCAACTGCATATACACACATGCTCGGAGGTCCGCGCGGAGCGTCGGCAGTTGGGGCTCATGCCGTGATTTCTTGGATCGTGGTGAGCCCCCTTGGCCAGACAAGCGCGTCCCACCGCTTGCAGAGTGCCAAGTCGCCAATGGCCCAGATCCGCCACGGAGGATCTACAAGCCATTCCATCGAGGCAAACAGGCGTCTTTCGGACGTTTGCGACTAAGCACTTTACTACGAATAGTGAAACACGCTCGGTGATTGGCGCTGCCCGACCTTCATCCGTTTCAGCCTGTCAGAGTGTCTGTGCCGGGCCACTTCCCCATGACCTGCCCCACCCAGGACGGCCGCAAGAGACCCCAGAAGGCCTCTCTCGGCGGCGCGCACGAGGGAGACGGCAGAGGGGGGTGGGCCTTCTCGGAAGGCTCGGATAGCCTCCGGCCTTCTGAGAAGCCGTCTAAGCCGTCTCCGAAGGTAGAGGTCTCCTAGATGGGGTCCGAGTGGATGGGTCGGAGGTTCGCGGGGTCGGAGGATCGCGCCGCATCGGCGACGTCGGCATGGGAGCAAATCGGGCTCCGCATCGCTCTGCATCGCCGCTGCATCTCCGATGCGGCGCGATCCTCCGACCCCATCTACCCTGATCCCATCTGGGAGGCCCCGAGAAGGCCAGAGGACTTCCGAGAAGCACCGCCGCCTTCTGAGAAGGCCTGCCCCCCCCGCATTTCCCCCCTCGGCGCGGCGCCGACTCTCGCAGACATGCAGAAGCGCCCTGACTCACTGGAGACCTGGAGACCAACCCCTGAATAGACGAGCGCGTTCCACAACTCGCAAAGTAGCTACTCGAAAATGGCCTGGATCCGCCGCGGGGGATCCATAATCCAGTACATCGAAGCAAGCATCTGTCTTGTTGTTTCGGACGTTTGCGAGTACGTAGGCACTTTGCGAGTAGTGGAACGCGCTCGGTGACTGCAGGACGGTGGCGAGATAGGCTGGAGGCTAGTAGACTAGCCGGCCGCCCTGCGGTTGATCGGGAGGTCTGTATATATATATATATATATATATTCTCATACGCACCTCTCCGAGGGAGTAGAGCTCAGAGGCGATTAATGCGCACGCGTCCGCGATCTTTCTGGGCGTTTCGCTCGGGACATCCTCGAAATTCTGAAAATCGGTGGCACCCCTCACGCAGATCGCGACGTCAGGGTCCAAAAACACATGGGAAATTCAACATGTTAACATAAAACCTTCAAAAACACATGGTAATTTCAATAATTGTGACCCCGATTCTCAGTGAATGGCTGTTTCGCTTGAAAAATCCTTCCAAAATCGAGCCCCAGACCCCGCCTCGGAGCCTCCTGGGGGCCTCCTGGAACCTCCTGGGGCCTCCTGGGCCTTCTGAACCTTCTGGCACCCCAGACCCCGCCTCGGAGCCTCCTGGGGGTGTCCTGAAACCTCCTGGGGCCTCCTGGGGCCTCCTGCGGCCTCCTGGAGCCTCTTGGGGCCTCCTGAAGCCTCCTGGGGTCTCCTGGGGCCTCCTGAGGCCGCCTGGGGCCTCCTGGGGCCTCCTGGGGCTTCAGAACTACATGCACACAGAGACACAAATCACGCCCAACACATCACACGCTAGACAAACATAACACACACACACACACACACACACACACACACACACACACACACACACACACACACACACACACACACAACACCTACAACACACAAAAAGCACGCACCACACGAAGCATACATCACACACACACACACACACACGCACAACACTCACAATCCTGGGGCCTCCTGGAGCCTCTTCTGGTATCCAAGTCGGGCCTCCTAAGGCTTCCTGGGGGCCCTGGTACACACATCGCAAGGTGTGGCAACCCCACTTGCGCTCGAGTGCGACTTCGATGTTGCATTTCACTCCTGCTTCAAACGCCCCTTCAGTCCCACCAGCCCTTTGAGCGTGAGTGGTTTAGAGAGCCCGCTCTGTTCTCACCCCCCCTTCTTCCCCTTCGGGGAGGGGTTTACCCCTCCCCCTCCCCCCTCCCCCTGGACCTGGAGAGGGGGTTCCGCGGGTCGTCAAGGGGGTCAGTTTCGACTCCTGGGAGGGCTAAAAAACGACACCCCTCACGAGGATTCTGGCCCCGACGGGGGGGAGCAGAAAAAAACCCTCTCCTCTTCATTGAAGCCAAAATCATTGATTCTACTACGGTTTTGGCCCCATGTTGGCCTCCTGAGGGGGCCGCGCTCATCTTCCTTCATAGCAAAATCATTGATTTTACGAAGGTTTTGGGCTCATTTTGTCCTTCTCAGGGGCCAGCGCTCATTTGCGCTTCTGAGGAGGTCGCCAGAGGCCCCAAGATGGCCCCAAGAGGCCCCCAGCTCCCAAGAGGCCTCCCAAGAGGCCCCAAGAGGCCCCCAAGAGGCCCCCAAGAGGCCCCCCCAAGAGAGGCCCCCAAGAGGCCCCCAAGAGGCCCCCAAGAGGCCCCCAAGAGGCCCCAAGAGGCTCCAAGAGGCCCCCAAGAGGCCCCACGAGGAGCCCGAACGACTCACACCAGGACGAGGGGCCCGAACGACTCACACCACGAAGAGCCCGAACGACTCACACCACAAGGAGGGGCCCGAACGACTCACACCAGGACGAGGCGCCCGAACGACTCACACCACGAGGAGCCCGAACGACTCACACCACGACGCGGGCCCCGAACGACTCACACCACGAGGAGCCCGAACGAGTCACACCAGGAGGAGGGGCCCGAACGACTCACACCAGGATGAGGGGCCCGAACAACTCACACCACGAGAAGCCCGAACGACTCACACCAGGACGAAGAGCCCGAACGACTCACACCACGAAGAGCCCGAACGACTCACACCAGGAAGAAGGGCCCGAACGACTCACACCAGGACGAGAAACCCCAAACGACTCAAATCGCGAGGAGCGCTTTCTCTCCCTCCTCCTCCGCCTCGTCCTTCTCCCGCTCCCCCCACAAGGAGGATGTACAAGGAGGCGGGAGGAAGGAGGAACAGGGGAGATATGCGGGGCCAAGCGGACACACGCCTGAAAAACACGACTGTCGGCATGCTTCGCAAGAGTTGCTGCTGTGAGATGGGCTGGTGGGGATACGCGAAGCGTAAAGATTTTTTTGTATGAGCCTGGGCACACACGTGCCACTTGTATATACATATATCTGTATGGATATAGAAGAACGAGCGTGCGCCGGATTCGCCCGAAACGGTGCTGCGTGGCACTCTTGGCCCCTCCCCCCTGGGCCGATTTTGCGAGGACGCTCCGAGCGAGAGCGCCGGTGTGGGAATCTTCAAGCGGGGCTGCCGGTTTCGCCAGATTTGCTTGGTCAGGATGACGTGAGCTCCACAGAAGCTCGATCGAATAACGGAGTTGTCGCCCTCGGGGAACTGCACGGCAGGGAAACGCGAACGGCCCAGGGTGAATGAAGCTCTGCCTTGTGCTTCTACCAGGGGGGGGGGGCAGGGAGTATAGCAGACCGAATCTCAACTCTCATGTTGGCCCCTCGACCCCGCTCGCCCATGCCCTTTGTGTTCCGAATGCCGCTCAACTCCACCCCTCGCTACCTGCTGTTTGTCACTACAGCCGTTCGCTGAGCAACCGAGGATGAATGTTGAGTCTCGGCATCGCATGTGGGAACCAGAGGAGGATGTAGGAGGAGGAGTGGAAGTAGGAGCAGGAGTAGGAGTAGGAGTAGGACTAGGAGTAGGAGTAGGAGACGCAGTAGGAGTAGGAGTAGGAGTAGGAGTAGGAGTATGAGTAGGAGTATGAGTAGGAGTCGGAGTAGGAGTACGAATAGAAGTAGTAGTAGCCGTCGTAGTCGTAGTCGTAATCGTAGCGGTAGTCGTAGTCGTAGTCGTAGTCGTAGTCGTAGTCGCGGCAGCAGTAGTAGTAGTAGTAGTAGTAGTAGTAGTAGTAGTAGTAGTAGTAGTAGTAGTAGTAGTAGTAGTAGTAGTAGTAGTAGTAGTAGTAGTAGTAGTAGTAGTAGTAGTAGTAGTAGTAGTAGTAGTAGTAGTAGTAGTAGTAGTAGTAGTAGTAGTAGTAGTAGTAGTAGTATCAGTAGTATTAGTAGTAGTAGAAGAAGTAGTGGAAGTAGAAGTAGTCGTAGAGTAAGCAGTAGTAGCGGCAGTAGTAGTAGTAGTAGGAGGAGGAGGAGGAGGAGAAGCAGAAGGAGGAGGAGAAGGAGGAGGAGGAGAAGGAGACACACACACACACACACTTAAGCTGTTCAAGGGGGCGACCCCATTCAGCATGCAGGGAAAAGGGAGAAGCGACCCCACTCAAGGGCCTCGGGGCATGGGCTTCAAGGTATCACACCCAGCCTGCTGCTGCTGTCGCTGCTGCCGCTTCGGTCGCGCGAGCGGCCAGGCCCAGCGCGCCAGCCTCCTCCCACGAACGCCCGAACAACTGCAGACCTGTCTCGGAATCCAGGGCCGCACGGCCTGATCCTCCCTGAACCTGGGCCTGGCCAGGGAGGACGATGACGAGGAGGAGGACGAGGATGAGGATGAGGATGAGGCTGATGATGAGGAGGAGCAACGGCAAACCGATACCTGACCACCCGAGAGAGCAGAGAGCAGAAGGTACGGACCAAGACCAAGGATATGCAAACCCGAGTGACGGGAGCGTAAGCGCGAAGAGCAAGCCAGAAACCGCCCAGCTGCTGAGCACACCGCAGATCACTGCCCAATGCCTGAGCACCCAAGTGGGGAAGAGACGGAGGAACGGACCAATGCTGAGAGGCAGAACGAAGAGCGGGAGCTGGAGCGGGTGTGGCTGGTGTCAGCATGCTGGCTGCGCGACGAATGTGCTCAGGTCAGCGGCTGAGTTCCATCTCCTTCTCCCCCTACCACCACCAGCACCGCCTTTATCTCCTCCTCTGGGTACGCTCCTCCTCCCCCTCCTCGTCCTGGAAGACGCATCGAAGTATCATGGGTGGACGGGGAACAGGGCGATGGCGGCGACGGCGGAGGATGATGATGCTGCTTCTGATGCTGGGGGGAGGAGGAGGAGGAGGAGGAGGAGGAGGAGGAGGAGGAGGAGGAGGAGGAGGAGGAGGAAGATGATAAGGAGGAGGACGGGACCTTATTACTATGATTATTAATATTCGAAGTCTTCTTCTTATCCTTCTCCTCCACCACCTCCTCCTTCGCTGGCCTCCCCCTCTTCCTGGAGGATGCGTCGAGATAGCCTGGGCAGACGGGGAGGATGGCGATCGCGGCGGCGACGGCGGTGGAGGATAAAGGTACCTTATTCGTCTTATGCCGCTGGTTATTCTTACTATGAGTGTTCTTCTTATTGTTTTGTTATTCATCTCCATATTACTCTTCCTCCTCGTACTCTTCCGTTCTCCGTTTCTCATCCTCTTCCCCTGCATCAAGTCGCGTGGGCGCACAGGGAGGAGTGCGATGGGGGCGGCGACGGCAAAGGAGGGGGGAGCTTCTTCTTATTATTCGTCTTCTTGTTACTGCTCCTCCTCCTCCTCCCTCCTTTGTTTCCTTCTCTTCCTCCTCTTCCTCCTCCTCCCCCTCCTTCTCCACCTCTGGCCTCCTCCTCCTCCTCCTCTGTCCTCGTTTGGCCTCCTCCGCCGCCTCCTCCTCCTCCTCCTCCTCCTCCTCCTCCTTACGTCTTGCGGCCATCGCCGCGCCATGCCGGCAATTCCCGCCTGGGTGGCTGTGTCGTCCGACAGCCGCAGGATCCAGACCAGCTTGGCGGCGGACCTCGGCGGGGGGCGCCGCGCGCAGCCGAGCGAGGCCGCGGTTGCGGGAGGGGGCCGTTCACGGAGCACTGGTGGAGTGGGAGGAGCAGCAGGAGGATGATACCTGAGGGTGATGATGAGGAGGGGGAAGAGGAGGGGCGGAGGAGGGGGAGGAGGAGGAGGAGGAGGAGGAGGAGGAGGAGGAGGAGGAGGAGGAGGAGGAGGAGAAGTAGGAGAAGGGGGAGAAGAAGGGCAAGGGGAAGAGGGGGAGACCCAGGCGCGAGGATGATGATGGGGAATGTGACGAGGAGTGGGTTCGAGGCAGATCGTTTGCCTCATCCTCCTCCCCATCCTTCTCCTCCACCTCCTCCTCCTCCTCTGGCCTCTGGTCTCTGGCCTCTGGCCTCAACCTCCTCCTCCTCCTCCTCTGGCCTCAGGCCTCAGGCCCCAAACCTCTGGCTCAGGCCAAAGCTCCTCCTCTTCTGGTTTCCTCCTCCGCCTGCTCCAGCCTCCTCCTTCTCCTCCTCCTCGCTCTCCTCCTCCTCCTCCCCTCTTCTTGGCGCCGTTTTGGTATCTCTGGCCCCGAGGATTACACGTTCCTGTCCTTTGGGCATGAGGGCTTCTCAGACACTGTATTGGAGGATTTCGAGGAGTTGCTGCTCGATGTTGTGCATGATGTGAAGAAGGCGGCCTGGTTCACGGCCGCTAACCATCCTGGGGGTGACCAGTTTGGTTCTGGAGCTGATGTCCTCCCAGTACGTCGCGAGCTGGAGGCCTTCGCCAAGCGTGGCGAGATGGACCTTTGGAGCGCTACGCTGGTGGTGGTATCAGGCGGCCAATGGACGCAGCAGAGGCAGGCCGACCTGGGCTACGAGGTGGACTTGGCCTGCCCGAGGTGCGGTGCCTCGCCTGAGACGCTGCTCCACCGTGTGTGGGAGTGTGATAAAAATTGCGGGCACGCCGATTATTCATCTACTGATGCCCTGATCCCACAGGCTTTGGCTTCTGCAGATGCTGAGCCTGCTCTGTGGTTACGTGGTCTCCCCCCAGTGAGCCTCACTGTTCCAAGGTTCCAGGAGGGGCCCGATTTTTCCGAGCCCTTTTTCCTGGGTCAGGTTCGGCTTCTGGATCTCCGTGCGGCCCCTGACGGGCCTCCCCTGTACATTCTCGGGGACGGCTCAGGGAAGAGAGCATAGCCCTGATGAGAGACGGCGTAGGTGTGGAGCTGCAGTGGTGGTCATCCGCAGAGCCTCCGAAGGGGACCCTGTTGGTGTCTTGTGGGTCCCCTTCTGCGGTGTGGCCGCCTGCCTCCCTGGACGCCGCCAAACTGTGCCCCGCTCGGAGATCCTGGCCCTCGCGATCGGGCTCGAGAATTCCCGCGGAGACGTCGTGTATGTTTGCGATCGTAAGCCTGTGGTTGACGGCTGGAGGTCCGGCCGTGCGACTCACCCCCGAGGGAAGAATGCGGACCTCTGGATCCCGTGTCAAGAAGGCCGCTGACGGTCGTGGCCCTGGAGGGGCCTCAGTAGTTTGGACGGCTTCGCACCTGGAGTCTGAGCCAGAGCGCCTTACCTCTCCCTTTCAGGGGGACGTAAGACCCGGGTACGGGGGACTCGGAAATCCCCGACGAGGTCGTCAAAAAAATGACGAGGCCGAGCCTGCATTTTGACGAGGCCTCCCGCTGCAGACATCCCACGAAACTCCTCCTCGTCAAAATCCGAGGCGCGGTCGTCAAAAAACGATGGCGAACCCGAGTCCTGGCAAACCCAGATCTTACGCTCCCCCAAGCCTTACCTCTCCCTTCCAAGCCTTGCTCTCCCACGGCAATGCCTGCGCGGATGTTTGGGCTGGGCGGGCGGCGAGGAAGGGGTAGGATGCTTCGGCGTGCAAGCCCGTGCCAGCGACGGACCGCCGGGATGTCACCGCTCTCCTCATTCGTAGGCGGGCTCGGAGAGCCCTGATCGACACGCTCGCGGTTGCTCCTGAGTTCGGCACTCGGCCCCATAAGGATCGCCAGAAGCCTCAGCCTCAGCTGCAGCGAGCCCTTGGGGCTACCAGTCATCGGTTCAAGCCTTGCGGCAGTCGTTGGATGTGTTCCTTATGTCAGTCTATGGTTCCCAGGTCTAAGTTGATTGCAGCAGCGAGCTCTGTTTCCCCTGCTGCTCTTGCTGCTCGTTCTGGTCCCGGCGCTCCTCCTTCTGGCGCCGTGGTCCCTGGGCCGACCTCTCGCTTCCGCGGTGAAGGAATTGTGCCGGTGGTCGGGCGTTCTGAGGTTGGAGGGGTGCTCCTGCACCCGAGCCACTCCCTCCAGGAGTGGAAGAAATGTGGCCGGACATTCTGTGCTTTGTTTGTGGCTTCACCGCCGCCGGGGAGCGGAAGGCAGCTCCGTAAGCCTGGCACGCTGCCGCTCGTGAGTGGAGTGCCTCGGCCGTCTCGTCAAGGGGTTGAGAGCCTGGCTCGTATCAAGAAGGGCCTGTTGCCTTCCTGCCGAGGAGCCCCGATTGCTATCCAGGAAGCTGTGGCGGAGGCAGAGACCTCCGCTCTGCTGCGGCTGCTGTCCGGGGAGCTCCAGGGGCTCGCCCTCCCGTCCCTGTGCAGTTGGATGAATGCGTGAGGTTCCAGGAGCTCCCACATCCTGTTTCGTTTTCCCCCCCCGCCCCCGTCTGTGGGCTCTGGAGGGAGGGTCGGTGTCGAGGAGGCCTCGAGGGGGTGTGGGTCGGGGGCGGCGCCTTCGGTCGTGGCGGTTGGAGCGGTCGGCGGGGTGAGTGCGAGGGCGAGGAGGGAGAGCGCCCCCACCCGCCGCCGCCCCGCCGCCGCCCCGCGTCGGCGGACCCCGTCGACCACATCAGGTGCGCCCCCGCCCTCCCCCGCCCCTCCCCCACCGACGTAGCGGCACGTGCGTGCACTTACTCACCATACTCACCATACTCCTCCCCATCTTCTTCCTCCTCCCCTCCTTCTCCTCCTTCTCCTCCTCGTCCTCCTCCTCCTCCTCGTCCTCCTCTTCCTCCTCCTCGCCCTCCTCCTCCTCCTCCTCCTCCTCCTCCTCCTCCTCCTCCTCCTCCTCCCCCAGCCTTCTCCCTCTCTCACCCATTCACTCTGTCGGGAAGCCCGCGCTCGCGCGAGCAATTCGTAGGCCCGGGCAGCGAGGGCCACGAGGCAACGGGGCTGCGAACGATAACTTCAGCTCACGGGCCACGAGCAACTCCGCCCCTTCCCTCCCCTTCCTCCTCCCCTCCTCCTCCTCCTCCTCCTCCTCCTCCTCCTCCTCCTCCTCCCCTCCTCCTCCAACTCCTCCTCCTCCTCCTCCCCCTCCTCCTCCCCTCCTCCTCCTCCTCCTTTTCCTCTCCCTCCTCCTCCCTCCTTCCTCCTCCTCTCCTCCTCCTCTTGCTCTTCCTCCCCCTCCTCGCTCCTCTTCCTCCCCCTCCTCCTCCTCCCTGCTCCCCCTCCTCCTCCTCCTCCTCCTCCTCCTCCTCGCTCCTCCTTTTCCTCCTCCTCCTCCTCCTCCATGATGTTTCCTTGTAAACAACTCCTCCCTGTCCACTCTGAGGCCAGTCGGAACAGTGGGCTGGGCGTTTCGCTTGAGACGTCCTTACCTATCTCAAATGAATATGGAAACAGTTTCACAGATGGAGGGCAGGTCGCTTCGGAAATGTGGCTCTCGCCTTAGCACCGCGCACATTCGTCCTAAGCATTTGCAGGAGTTTCACGGGTTGAGGGCGGGCTGTTTTCAAAATGTGGCTCTCGCCTTAGCGCCGCGCACATTCGTAAGAAATTCACGGATTGGGGACGGTTCCTTTTCAACATGTGACTCTCGCCTTAGCGCCGCGCACTTCCGTCATAAACAACTGCAAAGGTTTCACGAATTAAGGGCGTTTCCTCTTCAACATGTGACTCTCGCCTGCGCGCCGCGCACCTTCGTCTTCAACATATGCAAGAGTTTCACGGATTCCCATGGTTAGCGTAACAGAAGTTGTGCACAGGACCGTTTCAGGACTGTCCGGGCGCAACATAAGTTGATTCGCGGTGGTAAAGTCCAAGGACTAGTGTTCTGGCACAGATCAGGATCGTCAAAGACGCATGAATCAGGTTGATTTGTAGCGTTAGAGTCCCGAGAACGGTGCTTTGGCACGCTTCAGGATCTTCACAAGGTTGTCTCCCAACGGGGCGCTCCCCTCAGCGTGCACCCTTGTAGGTGCCTAGGGAAAGGGAGCTTGAAGGGAGGATTTACTATAACATCGTTGATGAGTCTTGGGTTTACACTAGATATCCTCCTTCTCCTTCTTCTCCTCCTCCTCCGCCTCCTCCTTCTCCTCGCATTCCCTCCTCCTCGTCCTCCTCCTCCTACTAGTGCTTCTACTCCTCCTCCTCCTCCTCCTCCACCACCAGCTTCCCCTCCACCGTCTTCCCCCTGCTCCTCCTGCAGATGAGGGAGCGAGCGATCTACGTTCATACTTACATACTCACATGTCAGAGCTTCTGGCAAGACTCGCGGGCTCCTGGCTTTCGTGGGCGTTCCGGCGTCCAGCTGGTCCCGGAGACGTGGTCAGACAATTGAGGTCGAGGATGTGTTTCTGGGGGCCTGAGGTGAGGGGCAGCATTAGGGGGGGCACGTTAGGAGGGGGGGGGGGGGGAACGTCCAAGTCTGGGCTAATGGCGATGCTGCTGAACGGCGGTATTGGGAACCAAAGCGTAGAACATCACGAGCCACACTTTCCTACATTTCTCCAGTCTGCGAACGGATCGAGCGGACACGACACAGCGAATTGTGGGAAAGCGCGAGCCACGCGTTCCCACAATACCGACACCTACATCGCCGTTGCCTGCATCGCCGTCAGCCCGTCCACGGAGCGTTTGGTGAGGCTCGAGAGCCGGCGATGCATCGCCAGGTTAAATCGGCGGCGGCCCCCGACGGCGACACCGCAGAGTCTTGGGCGGGGTGGGCTATCAGGCCCCAACCGGCGATCAATGGGCGATTGGGGGTCGATGCGTTGCAAAAAAGGATTGCACAAAAACCCAGGA